GGCTGGGAGCCCCCCGTGCCGCTGCCCCTGGGCCCTAGGAGGGATTCCAGAATCCCAGAACTGGCTTGGAAGGGATCTTGGAGATCATCCCATTCCACTCCTGACACTTCCACTGTCCCGGGTTGTTCCAAGCCCTGTCCAGTCTGCTCTTGGGCACTGCCAGGGATCCAGGGGCAGCCACAGCTTCTCTGGGAATTCCATTCCAGCCCCTCCCCACCCTCACAGGGAACAACTCCTTCCCAATATCCCATCCATCCCTGTCCTCTGGCAGTGGGAAGCCATTCCCTGTGTCCTGTCCTTCCATCTCTCTCATCCCAAGTCTCTCTGCAGCTCTCCTGGAGCCCCTTCAGGCTCCGTGAGGCTCTCTAAGGTCACCCTGGAGCCTTCTCTCTCCAGGCTGGACATTCCCAGCTGCTCCCCCCGTCTCCTCCAGGCCCTGCTCCGCAGCAGCCAGCCCCTGACCGGGCCCAACCGCCGGCGGTGCCGCGAGGACGAGAAGCTCTTGGGGACAATCCTGGATGAGGGCGAGCGAGGTTTCATCATCGACACGCGCTCGGCACAGGCGGCCAAGCAGGCCCGGATGAGCGGCGGCGGCACCGAGCCCAAATCCTCGTACCCGCAGTGGAGGAGGCTCCACCGAGCCCTGGACAGGTGAGGGCTGGGTGCTGAAGGTGTGAGGTGGGGACAGCCCCAGCGAGCCCCCCACACCTCCGTCCCCTCTCGCAGAGGCCGCCCGCTGCAGGAGAGCTTCATCAGGCTGGTGGAGGCGTGCGCTGAGCAGGGCATGGACCGCTGGCTGGGCCGGCTGGAGAGCAGCCGCTGGCTCGGCCACGTCAAGGCCGCCCTGAGCACGGCCTGCCTGGCTGCTCAGTGCCTGGACAGGTAAGGGGGGCTGCACCTCGCCCACCTTTCCCCTTTCCCGAGCCCCCAGTGTGGCCCAAAGCACGGACTGACCCCTGGAATCGCCGCGGCAGGGAGGGCTGCAAGGTGCTGGTGCACGGGGCGGAGGGGACAGACACGACGCTGCTGGTGACGGCGCTGGCCCAGCTCATCCTGGACCCGTCCTGCCGCAGCCTGGAGGGGTTCCAGGGGCTGCTGGAGCGGGAATGGATCCAGGTGAGAGCCGCTTTTGAGGAGGGTGGGGATCCCAGCCTGGCTGGGTGCCCTCACCCCGTATCCCCGTGGGGGTCCCGCAGGCCGGGCACCCCTTCCAGCTGCGCTGCGCCCGCTCCGCCTCCTCCCACGGCCGAGGGAAGCAGGAGGCTCCGCTTTTCCTCCTCTTCCTCGACTGCGTGTGGCAGCTGAGCCGCCAGTTCCCCTTCTCCCTGGAATTTGGGGAGCAGCTGCTCCTCACGCTCTTCGACAACGCCTACGCCTCCTCCTACGGCACCTTCCTGTGCAACAACGAGAAGGAGAGGTCGGTGTGGGGCACTGCCAGGGTCAAACCCCTCCTGGTCACGGCTCAGGTGACACCAAACCCTGCTGGGGACTGAAATGTGTCCTGCCTGTCCCCCCCAGGAGCCTGTGTAAGGTGAAGGAAAGCACACACTCGCTCTGGGCCTGGCTGAACCAGCCCGAGGAGAGGCAGAAGTACCTGAACCCTCTCTACTCACACAACCCCCTGGTGATCTGGCCCTCTGTGGAGCCCCAGAGCATCCAGCTCTGGCAGGGTGAGCGGGATCCCCCCAAAATCCACCCTCAGTTCCCAGCTGGGCTGGCTCAGGGCAAGCTGCTCTGCCTTTCCCCCTCTGACAGGGCTGAAATAACACCCAGCCCCTTCCTCTCCCAGGTTTATTCCTTCGTTGGATCCGTCCTTCCCAGCACCTGGATGAGGCCTGGGCGGAGATCCGGAGGTTGGTGGAGGGAAACAACTCCTCCACCAAGGAGAGCACAGGGAAAAGGCTGAGCCAGAGCTTCCCTGACCCCACTGCAGGGACACGGAATGGGAGGTGAAGCGTGGCCAGCTGGGTCCCCATGGGATTTGGGATAAGCTGGATCTTCCCATGGGAAGGGCTGTGCTGGACACAGACCCCATGGACAGCTCTGGCAGAGGGCACAGACCCCCTTTCCCAGCCTTTAGCCGCCCAGCCCGAGCTCTTTGCAGTAAATCTCTCTCCCAGACCTTGCCTGTGTCCCACTCTTCCATAGGGAAGCTGCTCCTTCCCACTGGGATCTCAGCAGTGCCTGCAGATGGCTCTGGAGCCAAAGGGCAGGAGATCACACAAAAATCCCAGGAGATGACACAAAAAACCCCAACAGGACACACTAAACCAACACCCTCCCACAAAACTGCAAAGGCTGCAGCCTCAGTGTCGTGCCAGCGGCTCCGAGCCGGGAGCCAGCCTGGGAATTCTGCCCTTGGGCCCAGTTTTGAGGAAGGAAAGAGGAAAGAAAAAAAACACCCTGTGGAGAGACAAGAGGGTGGGTGGGTGAGGATCTGCAGCAGGAGCTCCTAGGGCAGGAAATAACTGTTCCATGATGAAAGCTGGCTCGGGGTCAGGAGATAAACAAAGCAGCGGGGCCGGGCGCGTGCGTGGCAGCTGGAAAACAATTCCTGGCTGCTGCACTTCCAGCCTTTTCACACTTCAGGGCTGGGCCCAAGGCTGTGGAGCCTCTCTGGGAAGGAGTTCATGGATGGGCAGAGGTCCTGGAAGGAGCAGCGCTGCTCCATGGGTGTGGAACAAAGCACTGACAGCAGAGCTGGGAAAACAAAGTCCTTGGGTTAACTTTGGTCCAGATAGGAAAAAAAAAATAACTAAAAAAAAACACCACAGAGGTGCTTTTCCTTGTGTTTAGAAAAGAGTTCTATTTATTTTCTGGTTTTTTCCCTTCCCCTGATTTATAAATATGCCCAGCAGGCAGGCAGCCAACCCAGTTCCCTTCGCTCTTCTTCCAGTAAAAGCCATTCCTGCCCTTCGGAGCTGCTCAAGTTCCCACTCCCCAACTTCCCACAGCCCCCAAAACCACTGCCAAGAATAACTCCAGGCCTTTCCAACAGTCCTGGTGGAGCCCATGGACTGGGAAAGGGGTTGGAGAAGGGAAAAGAAGAGGAGAGGGAAATTCTCCTTCAGGCTTCAAACTCGAACTCGAAGTACTGGGGATCGAAGTAATGGATGCGGACGTAGCCATCCTCACCCCCGCTGCTGTAGCTGCAGGGAGGAAAGGGAAAGTCAGGGAAAGTCAGGGAAAGTCAGGAATGCTGCTGGGAGCAAAGAATGGGAAGTCTGGCCTCACCACCCCCTCCTGAAACTGATACAGGAATCACAAAGGGGAAAAAAAAAGATCATTGATGTGGCCAAAGTGTGGGGCAGGGTGTGAGTGAAGCCCTCCAAATGGGAGAATTCAGGTGCTGGTTCCATTCCCACCAGAGAAATCCCGTCAGTCTGGTCACACCCCAATTAAAAAGCGGGATTGGGTGGACTGGGGACACTGCAGGATCCCCAGGGAGCCTCTCACCTCTTCCCATCAGGGTGGAAGGCGACGCTGTTGATGGGCCCAAAGTGCCCCTTGACTCTGCCAAACTCCTCCTCAAAAGCCAAGTGGAAGAACCTGGTAGGAGGAAGATTTCAATTGTCACAAGCCCAGAAGGGACAAAACCATGGAAATCCTAAAAAAAAACAAAACTAAAGGGCTTCTCCAGCACTGCCAACTTGCCAAAAGAAAGGAAGAAAGGGAAATGCAATCCTTGGGAATGGCAGGAGTGCTCTGGGGAGGATTTGGCCCTGAGAAGAGAAAGGACCAACCTGGCCTCAAATTTGCCAATCCTGGTGGAGGTCGTGGTCACATCCATGGCTTCCTGCCCTCCACCCAGCACCACCTGCAGGGAAGAGAAACCAGGGAAATCACAAGCCTTCAGTGCTTCCCGCTGGGATTTTGGGAATCCTGAGATCACCGAGGTTGGAAAAGACCGCCAAGATCAAACCCAACATTGATCCCCACCTCAAAACCAGTTTAGAGCAGGGAGGGACAGGTCCAGAGGTTCCCTGGACAGCTCCAAGGGTGGGTACTACCTCCAGCACTTCCCACTAATCCCACAAATCCATCAATCCTCAGAGGAATTCCCAGAGTCCTCAGAGGAATTCCCAGAGTCCTCAGAGGAATTCCCACCTCCCTGACACATTTGACCAGAGGACACAAAAATTTTGTTCCCGGTGCCAGACCTAGCAAAATTCCCCAGGCTCATTCCAGAGTCCTGGTTTTAGGCTGGACTGGCAGCACTCCCAAGGCAGGAATCCCAGGATTAGTGACACCCTGAGGAAACTCATCCTTACGTGGTCAAAAATGGGGGAAAGGGCAGCAGAATTCACTGGCCGCTCCGTCCGGAACGTCTTCAGGTGCTCCAGGGATGTGCAGTCAAAGAGCTACACAAAAAGGAGAAATTCATCTATTAATTCACACAGCTCCAGCTGCTGGGCCTTACCTGGATGGATGTTCCCTCTCCAAGTTCAAATCCCAAAAAATATCGCCCCAAAAAGTGAAATTTTTTGCCTTCCAGAGGTGGCAAACTGCAAATGTTCTACTGAAATCCCAAAATATTCTGTTTTCAATGCCTGGCTGTTCATTCAGCACCTCGCCTTTCTCACTGAACATTCCCAAGGAGCAAAACCCTCCCTCTGAGCAGAGATCCTGCCAGGAAATCTCCAGGAAAAGCTCACCTTGGCTGTGTTATCCTTGGAAGCAGTGATGAACATGGTCATGTCCCGGGAGGTCTGGATGTCGTTGATTTGCTTGGTGTGCTCCTTGATATTGGACAGCTGCTCCCCTGACTGGAGGGGAAAACCCTGACTGGAGGGGAAAATACAATTTCAGGGAGCTGGAAAGTGATTTCCTCACTCAAAACAACCTGGGAGAGCATGGAATAGAATCCTGGAATGCCTTGGGTTGGAAGGGAATTTAGGAATGGATTCAGCTCCACGCCCCTGCACTGAGGTGTCACTTCCAGCTTTGCTTGGGGAGCCTCATATTTTAACAGGGAAGAGGAGATTTCAGGGAGCTGGGAAGTGATTTCCGCACTCAAAACAACCTGGGAGAGCGTGGAATAGAATCCTGGAATCCTTTGGATTGGAAGGGAATTTAGGAATGGATTCAGTTTCACGTCCCTGCTCTGGATCACTCCCAGCCTCGCTCAGGGGAGCCTTGAATTTTAACAGGAGAGAGGAAGAGGAGTTTTCAGGGAGCTGGGAAGCCTCCCCCAGGCCCTGACCTTGGCACTGAACTGGTTGAGCTCCCCGTTCTCATGGCCAGCGATGATGAACTCCCCGAGGGGGCCCCACACGGCGCTGGTGATCTTGGAGTCGCTGCAGGGAATCTTCATGTAGGGCTCGTTGTTCTCTGTGGGAAGGAGGAATCAGACAATCCCACAGGGACTGGATCCAGCATTTATCCTTTGATGTCCTGTGCTCAGCTTGGCTTTGGGCTTTTCCAGCATTTCCAGGGTGGATTCCTTTGTAATTCTTATTTATGGAGCTCAGATTTCTGAGCTTCTGAACAAGGGGGGGAATTGTGCTGATGTGATCACCCCCAACCACTTCCAGCCACTTAACAAAGTGATTTTTTTAGGGAATCATCTCTGTTCCATCCCTGGAAGCGTTCCAGCAATTTGGGATAGGGGAAGAATTTGGGATAGGGGAAGGAATCCCTGCCCATGGGAATGGGGTGGGATTTCAGGCTGCCCCCAGACTGTTCTGGGATTGTGAAATGCGTGCCAGGAGATCCTCACCGATCTGGCTGGGGTCCCGCAGGTCGAAGAAGCTGACGAAGCACTGGTATCCCATCTGCTTATCCGTGGAGAACATGATGATGTTCCCTCCAAAGTCGAAGCCACACGTCCTCACGGCTGAGCTGGTCTTCACCAGGGCCAGCTGCTTCCCTGGGAGCAGGACAGGCCTCAGGGATGGGTGGGAAAAGAGGGAAAGGAGGGGAGATGATGGCAGGGACGGCGGGAGGGGCTGGTGACCCACTCAGGAATCGCTGGAGGCTCTTCCAGCTTTTCTCATGGAATGGTTTGGGTTGGAAGGGACTTAAAGCTGACCCAGCCCTGGGCAGGGTCACTTCCCACTATCCCAGGTGGCTCCAGCCTGGCCTGGGACACTTCCAGGGATGAGGCAGCTGCAGATTCTCCAGGAATTTCTTCCCAGCCCCACCCAGGGAAGAATTCCTTCCCAACACCGACTCATTCCTGCAGTTCAAAGCCATTCCCTGTGTCCTCCACCCCCTGTTCCCAGTCCCTCTCCAGCTCTCCTGGAGCCCCTTCAGGCCCTGCTGGGGGCTCTGAGCCCTCCCTGGAGCTTCTCCTCTCGGGATTCTCCCAGCCTGGGATGTCCCCCAGGCTCAGGAGGCGTCACAGCCGTGTCCCCACGGGGAATTTGGGAATGGCCTCACCTGTCTCACAGTCCCAGAGCCGACAGCTGTTGTCTGCAGAGCCGGTGAGGACGTGCCTGGTGTCCCCTGGGCCATCAGTTAGGGAATCTCAGCCCCAAATTCCCCAGGATGGGAATCTCAGTCCCAAATTCCCCAGCCCCAAATTCCCCAGCCCCAAATTCCCCAGGTTGGGAACCTCAGCCCCAAATTCCCCTGGTTGGGAATCTCAGCCCCAAATTCCCCTGGCTGGGAATCTCAGCCCCAAATTCCCCAGGATGGGAATCTCAGCCCCAAATTCCCCAGCCCCAAATTCCCCAGGTTGGGAATCTCAGCCCCAAATTCCCCAGCCCCAAATTCCCCAGGTTGGGAATCTCAGCCCCAAATTCCCCAGCCCCAAATTCCCCAGCCCCAAATTCCCCAGGTTGGGAATTTCAGAGAATGTTTCTGCACCAGATTAAAAAGGTATTTTTAAAACCCCTTTTAAATTAAAAAAAAATTAATATAAATATTATATGCTGTTATAGGCAATAAATGTATTTGATATAATTTATATTTTAGTTGTATGTTTATATATAAACATAAATAAAAATATAATTAAATTATGTATATTTATATATAATCACGTAATATATAAATTATAAATTTTATGAATAGATTTTAGATAACATATTAACAATATAATAAATACTATAATAATTAATATATAATATAATGTAATGTAAAATTTAATATTATTAAATAATAAATTAATATAATGTAATATAA